ATGAAGAGGGCTGGTTTCCAAAAATACCTGCTGCAAGGGTGCCCTCAGACACCCAGCAGCTTTGGGGATGTCCCTTCCTCCTCTCACAAAGGTCTGTGTGGGCCAGGGCCACTAACTGTTAAATGGATTTTGATTTCCTTCCTGTAACTATGTAAAGTTTAAGCAAAAGGACGACACAAGATGAGGTTCTCTTTAAATGCATACAAAGTTAAGCTTTCCCTTTCTAATATAACACAAGATGAGGATCTCCTCGCTTTGCCAGAAGGCACTTTGGGTCTCCTTGTGACATTCTACATATACAAAGAAGACAGCTCTGTCCCAAGGAGCTGGCTCCATATGGATTAGATCACTTGATTTTTATTTATTTATTTTGTAGCCCTACAGATAGTGTATGGAGATGCTACACCCTGCTAGGAAYTGTAAATCTGACAGAGCTCAGAGAAACAAACTAGTGAATATAAGTTTTTTCCTGGAGAGCTACCAGTTCATAGAAACATGGAAGACTGCATGACTGTATTAACATCATGTTTTCCTCTAGRTGTATTTGTTTCATGCTGATTCCCGGGAGCGAATAGGTTCATACATTCAACTCGCTATCGTGGACTGCTCAAACTCAACACTCAGCAGTACCTAACTTCCGTTCCTAACAAGCATCAGTCCCACCAAATTTGATGCTCAAGGTGGTAAATATCAAATAGAAAATGGGATAGCTGCTGCACAAGCTCAGTTTATATGCCTGGGACCATCTTTCTCACACATATCAAAGTACATCTGCTATACCCATTGAGAGATGGGAGAGAAGAAAAATTTCTGCAGTATTGAAAAACAGGAGGAAAGAAGAACATTGCTGGTGCTGTGATCTTTCTAAAACATGAAGCATCAGGTGACAAAAACATCCTCGATAAATGTTAGTTGTTATTGAAAGGTTTTTTTTTTTTCTACAGAACTTCTGCTCCAACCCCAATCTGCCTGAGGGAAAGGAATGCGAGAAGTTCACAGAGCAAAAATTAATGATGTGGCACATTAACCAATCAGGAGTAGAAAACTCTTTACTTACAATTTCTTCTTTAGTACTTGAAGGACTTCCCAGAGATGCAAAATAACTTGAGCAAGATCACTGAAAGCCAAGAATTMTTGGCCTCTGAACACATTCAGTTCTCTAGCTTTTTTCCTTTCCAACATCTGTATCTACAGCTATTTTGACAAATAACATCCAACCTGTTTGTTTTTTTTTAATTTCATTTTTTTTTAGTTTTCTTTTTTTTTTTCTTCTTCTCAATTGTGAGCTATCACCCTCAGGCTGATTGATCCTGGCTGTGTTCAAACCACAGCACCAGGACTGATGTCAGCAGGGGCAGCTAGGAAGAGTTAAGCCCAGGGGACTTTCCTTTTTGAGGTCAAAGCACTTCATTCAAAAACGTGTAGTGAAGAAAACTGGGGCAGAGTTTGAAGCCTATGCAAAGCTATGGAAACTCTGCACTAGCTTTAACTTAAAGAAAGCATGTTGTACCTGGACTTTATTTATTTTTTAAAAAGGAAAATTTTGTTTTATTATATGTTGCAGAAAAAAAGTGCTTTCCTTTTTTTTTTTAAATAATGTTCTAAGAGGTGATGTTTAGCTGCTTTTCATTAGGATTCCTTCCTGTGAGAACAGGCAAAAGGTCACTGATGGACAATGCAGTGCTGAAGGGTTTGCAGGCAAGTCTCAGCAAAAATACAGAAAGAGTATGTATGGGGAAATGGAGTTTGTATTTCTTCAACTATTTTTATCAGGGTTTTTAAAGATGTCTGTCAGCAYGTAGCAGCTCCCAACTAGTTAAGGGCAGTCCCTTAGCATAAATAAAATGAGCTCTCCAGGGAAGCACCGCCTGGCAGCACCCAGGAGCCACCGCAGAGCAGCTGTGGGTCTTTGCACCACACCTAAGCACCGAGTAAAATGCCAGAGGAGACTGCAGAAGAGAAGGGAAGGGAARGTCATGCAACAAGCACAAGGTAGAGCAAATGTTGGTAACAGCCCTGTTGCAGCTTGCTTATTTTCTGGTGGGAMTGGGCTGGAGGTCAGCTCCAGAAAAGTGTGTTGTGTGTGCTAGGGAGGGAGTTCGGCCAAGAAAAGGCAGTGGGAGAGGAATCTGCTGCCTGGAAAGGTGGCAGAGCAGCAGTCCGGGGAAGCAGAAAGGCCCCTGTCAAGACCAGGGTCCTACTGGTGAGACTAGAGCCCCATGAGACCTCGGAGCAGCTTTCCAGGAGCAGCTCCTGGGAGAGGAGGGAGGATCAGCAGCCTCTGGCTCCCCCCAGAGTCTCTTTCCTCCAGGCCCCGTGAAGCTGAGGACAGGCCCAGGAGCGGGGCCAGCTCCTGCTCCCCGAGGTGGGCAGCGCTGGGCCGGAGCCCCGGAGGGCTCCCAGCTCCAAAACACTGCCTGTCCCTGGCTGAGGAGGGCCAGGCAGCTCCCAGCAGTTCCCCCAGCCTCCCAGGCGTTCCTGGCTGCTGCCCCCACTCACAAAACACCCTCTGGAGCTCACTTGGAGCATCCAGGCAGCTGAAAACGCAGGGTCTGCTTCTCTACTACACCAGGAGGAGCCTGGAGTCCATCCTCAGGGTTAGGCACAAACGCCAAACCTGTGCTGAAAGGTTCTGGAGATGCCCTTCCGCAGGCGTCAGTTCTTCCACTCATCCCTTCCCCTCCTGACCTGCGTGGCGCAGATCCCACCGGGCTCACTAAGGAGCTGGGCTGTCAGCAAGGACAGGAGCCTCCTCAGGCCACAGAGGATGAAGGTCTGAATTCAAGCACAGCAATCCAGGCACGAGGCCACAGAAACCCCTGCTAACCATGACCAGCGCACCAGAGCTCAGGCGGTGACGCGAGCTCAAAGAAACGGTCCACCAACACCCATGATAATGGTTTGGGGGTTCACAGGCCTGCTATGAAACCMCACCGTAGCTGACACCACCACCCCCTTATGCTTGGAACAAATAAACACCACCAGGTTCAACTAGAAATGCTCCACACACTACGGCCTTAGGAGCAGCCCTGCAGACATATAGGCCCTCACAATTTCAGGTCAAGAACTATTGCTGTGCAGAGGAAACAGATGAAAAGGAGAACAAAGGACAGGAAAATTTCCAGGGGAAAAGAAAAGCCTGGATTATCTGCCAGATATCGCATCCCATGTCACTCCCACACGCTGTGACCCCACTTTAGAGTTCAGGCTTTGGAAGAGATTTTGTATTTCCTCCAGGAYAGCTGTCAGGGTGAGGACAGCTAGGATACCTCACAGCAAGCGAAGAAAATTGACCAGTTTTATCCTGTGCTTAAAAAAAAAAAAAAAAAAATAAAAAGTAAAAATAATAAAAAAAAGGAGGCAGAGAATAAAACTCACAGGTATTGAAATTGCCAAAATGWGTCTCTAAGAGTTTCAATGTATTCTCCTTGGATTTTCCTTCTCTGTCAGTGTTTGTTTACCCAAGTGAACTCCTAACAGCGCATCAAAGCTGCTAAGGGGAAATCAGGGCTGCACAGGAAGCCCTCTAGTGAGCAGGACATCAGAGAAAGCTGGTGAGCAGCCTTGGCAATCCCTGCTGGAGGCTCCAGCCTCCCTGCAACTCTCCTCACTCGGGTAACAGCACAAACAGCGCTGCCCGCGGCTAACCCTGGTCATCTGCAGACACCCCACTGCAGATCCAGATTTGTTCAAAAATTGAGCAGAGTCTCTGTCCCCTTTAGCTTGCAAGTAATGTGCCTAGCTGCCCATTTCTGCTACGCCCGAGTCTGTGCACTGCCACATTGACTGAAGCTACCTCCTCAGGCACAGACTCTGCCCTCTCACATGCTAACTAGTGGTTTAAGCAGTGACCCAACTTTCTTAAAGTGGAGTATTTATTTAGAGTAGAGGCACCCCAGACAGCACAGCAAGTGTTGCATGTGCTCCAGTTTTCCCTCAGGCCAGTGGGAAAAGGCTTTACTTCTCACTACGCTCTTCTCAGAAAACGCATCCCAAAAAGCTGTTGGGACGAATGATTGCCAGCTCTGAAGACATTGGATGCTTCTCAGATTCTGGGGGGCAAACTGGATCCTCAGAGGGAAGAAGGTTCAAGCTTGATCAAGTGTGTTCCATGTTTGCATTTCTTTAATTGCCACCCTGATTGCCCTCCTCCTTGCCTTCCACACTTTATACTARATCAAGAAGATTAGGAAGAGTTTTAATACTTACCATCATTATGTAACACTTACCAGTCACAGCAAGTTATTCCAATTTGGCATAGACCTCAAGCCATACCTGCTTAAACCTCTCCAAGACAGTACTATACTGGTGCAAGTCTTTCCTTCAGGTTACACGAAGTGAGGCTGTCAATCTCAGCAGATATTTTATTAAAACGGCTGTTGTGCCCAAGAAGGTGAAACTCCTCATCTAGTCCAAACGCATCCACCCACCACCTTTGCTGCTGTACACAGGACTGCACGGAAAGTAAGAGCCAGATATTCCTTTGGGTATTACGGAATACAGTGTAATCAGAGTGGACAGAGGTGCTTGGATTGCATTGCATTAGGCTGCAATCCCTGCAGACTGGGCATTGCACTCGCATACTGCATAGAGTTTGGGCAGTAGAAACACTTAGCATTTTGTTTGCAGCCCCTTCCAGAATTGAGACTTTTAACCAGAACAGACAATTCCACTTTGGAGAGTTCACAGGTTTTGCCCAAAGAGACCTTTCCCAAGGCAATCTGACATAAAAGGAATTACTGAAAGAAATGAGACCCTRGAGAGGGTGGCTCTGTACCTACACATATGTGCTTTCATATATGTCCTTCATTCTTAGGACATATATGTGCTTCATTCTTAGGGGGCACCTCCAAAAAAGGACTATGAGAATACACCTCAAATCCTGTAGCATAAGAGGCTTGAGACCTGCAGGACCCACAATAAGGACAAGACTGCAATTCTGAGTAGATAAAGCTCTGCTTTACTGCTGAAGAACTGCTATTCCCAAAGAAAGCTGCAACTCCTCAATGTCTAACACAGTTACATAACCCAAAATATTGGACTGCAAAAAACTGTAAGTGTCCASGATATTCCAGAGATGAAAGCTATATAGAGACCTAGAGAACTACTCATGGTTCACAGGCTAATTCTGAATATTTAAAAGATCACAYAGATTTCTACACGTGGTTTTAGTCTCAGCTGAAGTCCATGCACTATAGTCCGTGCAGACATGATGGCAGCTGGTAGAGGAATCTATATCCTCTGCCTTGTGATGAAGCAACAAGTAACTCCATTCAGCTCTTACTAATAACTGTTCAAAAAGATCTTTCTTGGCCAATTTCAATGTGAGAGTTTTTGCTGAAAGAAGCAGAATGCGCTCATGGGCCTCTCAAATCATTTTCACAGGCACACTAGGATCACACTGCAGTAGAAGGCTCATCTTCCAATAGCATGAAGTTGACACTTTATAGTCTTACTTTCCAGCGTGTAAAATCTATTTTTCGCACTCCTTGTAGAAACATGCTACAAGCAAGAAGCCCTCAGTCAGAACCTAGGCAGAAACCCTATTATACAAACTGAACTGTAGCTAACAAGCCTTAAAAAAGTGTAAAAAAAATTATGTCAACTTTAATCAGTGCATGTCCACCCGAAGAAGCAAGCCTGAACACAGTAGGCACAAAGGAAATCCTGTTTTAAGGAAAATAACATCTCCAATATTCATATATCATGCATCAGAGACTCTTGGACTGTACTTACTAACATCCTTATGCTGTTAGAAGCTTGGACATGTAACAAAYGCAGCACCTGCTGCAAGCAGGGCACCGTTCATGTCAGGCTACCTAAAAACTTCAATCTCAGTACAAATTTAAATGAAATCTCCTCCATAATTTACATCTGRAAACAGTCCAGGACAAGGTGAGCTCTTTTCAGCTTGGTCAAAGTAACGAGCTAATAACAGGCAGTGTCATAGTGACGGTTCTTCACTTTTAATCTTTTTTGCTTGTCCATTAGAGCCATGTTGCAGATCCTTTCTCTTTTTTTGCTGCTGCTGCAACCTCTCCTCTTTCCTCTGCAGGTAGGTGGCCATGTTATCAAAAGAAGCCTTGTAGAGACTGCTGTAGTGGCTCTCTGCACCAACASAACCTGCAATGGCAGCAGAACAAGAACATAAGTAGCAAGGCTCTCATCTTTTACTTCTTGTATCYAACACTGCTCATTCACTTGAGATCCTACCCACTTTATTAAATATCAGCTTTTATATTTCTTGAGCCTGTTTTGAAGCATCTCTCCTGCATTCCAAACAGTCAAGCTTAGCTTCCACTTTTAGGTAAAAGTAACATCTCCAGTACTCATATATCATGCATCAGGTACCTGGGAGGTACCTGAGCAAGCAAAGCTACCAAGCAAACTGTTACATGTGGGACACTTGGGCAACTCCAAAGATCTTTTTTAAACTACAATAAAGCATTTGAAACTACTGCTACAGTAACTTTTTTTTTTCTTTTAAATAAAAAATAGCACTGCAAAGGGTGTATGTTTCCTAACTCCTTTTAGTTGACTTATTTTCTGTAGTATTCATTTAAAACAATCCCCAAAAAGGACAGTAGAAATGATGACCGTTTCCTACAGTACCTATGCAGTTCTAGGCATGCACATGATGGTTTGGTGACACTTTTGTCAATCTGGTATTAATTTAGCATAATATTAATCATAGCACCTATGAGACTGAGTTTAGATGAGTTTAACACCTGATTCAATCTAATCAATATGTGGAGAACACAATAAGACCAGCAGGCTAGGTCCACATTTCTAAACTGACAGAGAATCATCTGGCAAAGTTGTATCCATTCTGTTCTCTACTTGACCAATCAATCTTATGCACTCAATCTTAAGAATTTTTTTTTCTGGCATTAGTTAGGAGGATGGATGTCAAAAACATACACTATCTATTTCAAAATTCACCTACATGTCTTAAATCCTACAGAATCTGACAGCATCACAGRSTGGTTGAGGTTGGAAGGGACCTCTAGAGMTCATCCAGTCCAACCCCCTGCTCCAGCAGGGACACCCAGAGCACGGGGCACAGGGCGGCATCCAGGCGGGTTKGGAAGATCTCCAGAGAAGGAGRCTCCACAGCCTCCCTGGGCAGCCTGTGCCAGGGCTCTGGCACCCTCAYAGGAAAGAAGTTCTTCCTCACATGGAGATGGAACTGCCTGTGTTTCAATTTGTGCCCACTGCCCTTTGTCCTTTCACTGGCCACCACCAAGAGTTTAGCCCCATCCTCTTTACACTCTCCCCTCGAGTACTTGTATGTTGGTAAGATCCCCTTGTCAGTCTTCTCTTCTCCAGGCTAAGCAGGCCTTCCTCACTTAGTCTTTCTTCATAAGACAGACACTCCACTCCCTTAACCATCTTTGTTGCTCTATGCTGGACCCTCACTAGAAGTTCCACGTGAAACAAGTTTATAAAAGGAGAAAAATGAGGCTATGCAAGCATTAAGACGACTGAATTTTAGCAATATAATTATTACTTTCTGTGAGGGAAGTAACTACCTTTTCAAGCACTAATTATGCAGTTGGAATAAGTGCTCATCAAGTGGGCCTCCCCTCACTAATGAACAATAACAGATCCTGTCATCTGAGCAGTCCTCCTTGCCCAGCTGCAGATGCAGCAGGCTACAGTAGATCACAGTAATTTGCCAAGCTGACAAATTATGCTCAGCACATGTTCTCCCGCCTGTTCTTTTTACCTGTCATTCATTGTCACTCAGCTTTCACGCTCTTAACAACCTGCTTGGCCGTAACTATCAAGTCCCCAACACCTACGTGCAAACATTCCCCCTTCCAAAGGAGCACTTGACCTCCTTTCAGATGTTTTAGAGCACCACTAAGTAACAGCTATAACCATAACAACGCAATACTCGGTATTACRATCATTTTCAATAAGACTGCACTTTCCTGCAACTTKGWGGTC